GTTTCGAGTCTATAGCTGATTTAACAACTTGTCGAAACTCAGTTCTTGATGCTGAATCTGAAAAAAGTATTTTCAGGAGCGAAAAAAAAGAATAAAGTGGAAAATTTCGGATATTTCGAGAAAAGATATGTTTTTCTCGAAAAACGACGCTTTTCGAGTATTTCGTATTTTTCGACCGGAAGGAAGCATTTGTTAAGGCTAAAAAGTAGTTTTTCGTAATCTACAGCTCAAGCTCTATCCGATGATGTGAAAAAAACGCGAAAAACAAATTTTTCTGAAAAATCGCATTGCCGGTAGAGGTGTAAGCCGAAGGGCCAAATAGCGGCGGCGCCTTTAACGGTCAATTTTTTTTTGCATAGCGGCGGCGCCTCCTAGACTTTATGTTTTTGTACACCGGCAGCGGCGGCGTCAATTTTTTATTTTTTCTTCCAAAGCGGCGGCTGCTGCTAGACTTTATGTTTTTCTGCACCGGCGGCGGCTTTGACAACCAAAAAAAGAAAAAAAACGTCTTTGCATATGTATCGATGTCAACGGCGGCGGCGCCTTATAGTATTATCAAAAGTTTTTCGTTCGTGACGGCGGTGCACCGGCTGAACTTACTTTTGCACAGCGGCGGCTCCTAAAAAATTCTTAAAATTATCTACGATTCTGTGGCGGCGGTGGCTTACTTTTCAAAAAAATCGGCGGCGGCGGCGGCTTAGACCGGCGGCTTACACCTCTAATTGCCGGCACCTTATATATATATGTTCATTGTTTGTTGCTGCCCGCTACTCTCATGGAATAAAATGAATCGATGACCTTGATGAAAAAAATATAGGGTCAATGAATGAATAGTCCAATTAATTTACGAATGAACATTTTTTTTTTTTTTTTTTTTTCGTCTATCTCCGATATGATTTTTATCTCTAGTCACTGTTCTTATTCATAAGGTATTGAAGAAGTCACTTTCAAAGAAGGGAAAGATAAGATTTATCAGGTAAATATTGATTGAATTTTATTCCTAAGGATTTAGTATAAAGAAGAAAAATTATACTTTTGTAAATATTATAATAGAAAATAGTATATAAATGAGAAAGCTCATAATCGAAATAGTTTTCTAATTATTTTTATTATTAGAGATTGTCTCTTTTGTTGAAAAATTAATTTCAATTTTAGTTAACTTTATCAGCTCAATGTCCATTGAGCATCATGTATTTTGTATTTGTTATAGTTTTTTTAAATTTTTTTCCTTTCATTGTTAATACAGAATATATATATATGAATTCATTTTTTTTTGTATTATATTCAAATCGTTTTCTCGAGATAATCATTTTTATCTGACAAATCACTGTAATCAATGTTTGTTGATTCAAATACATCTTCAACTGTATAACCTTGACGAAGAGCTAATGCCAATATAAAAATACGTTTATCTGTTGAATTACTTAATTCCTATAATAAAATAAAATAGATATATATGATTATATTTGATTAATATTACATCATCTGTAATTGTTTTTAAATATGAATCAAAATCAGTTACATTTTTATCAAGCATTCTTAAAACTTGTTGAAAAGCTTCTTCAAATGATCTACCAATAGGTATAACCACTAATTAAAATAGAATAAATATCTTTAATCGATAAAATCATCATCACTTACTAAAACTTTCAATTTCATTTGTACATCGATTACATTTTTCTAAAACGAATCTTGTAACTGTAACTGTAACATAATCAAGACTTGGTTCAAAACAAACACATGTTTCATTTGTAATATTATTTTTTTTAATTCAATCAAACTTATTCCAGATGTAAGTTTAGCTGTTATATATGCTAATGGATAACCAATTGCTTTTGATGCAAATGCAGATGAACGAGATAATCCTGCATTTACTTTAATTATATAATATTCAATACATAATGGATTTAATACAAATTCAATATTATATGCACCAACAATAGTCAAATGACAAACAACTTTCATTGATACATTTCGTAATAAATTAGATTCATCATTTGATTTATGTTTGACTTGGTGCAACAACAATTGATTCACCTGTACGAAGTGATAATGGATCAATATTTTCCATATTATATACCACAATACAATTATCATATTGATCTCGAACAACTTCATATTCAACTTTTTCCTAATCTTTAAGTGATTTATCAATTAATAATTGTGATGAATTAGTTAAGAGTGAAGTAACTAAAGAAATTAATTCTTCACGATCCTCGACAAAACCTGATATACGATCAGTCTCAGGAAAAGTAGCACTAAATAGAACAGCTATTCAAGAGAAGTATTAAGAATATCTACATACCGAACAAAAACTGGATAACCAATTCATTCAGCTGATATCAATGCCTAAAATAGATCATTAGAGATTATATTTAAAATCTTTTTGATCAAACCACTTCAAGAGAATTCACAACTTTATATGGTAAAACTTTTTCTCCAATATCAGCCATTTATTTTGTAAATAAAGATTGATCTGTAGTAATTTGAATTGATTTAATCGATGTTCTATTCATATCATCAAAAAAACAAAACAAAAATAATAACAATAATTTAACATAGGAAAACATTTTCCTCACAAAAATATACATGAATATTTTTGAAGAATACCTAATTCATGTAATTGAATACCACAATTTAATGCTGTTTGTTCACCAAAATTAAGTAAAATAACCTCAGGACCTGTAATTTGAATAACTTGTTCAATATCAGTTGGTGTTATTGATAAACTGTAAAATGTATCCGAGAGACCCTTTGATGTTCGAGCTATATCAAAATTTGGATTGTTTAATATAGTATAAATATTTTCTTCTTTCATTGCTTTAATTGCTTGTATTTCTTTAAAATAAAAACTACATAAAATAATATAGAAAATCTTATTCATCTTTTTTGTCCAAAAGTTAAACAACGACTACCTAATATCAATATTATTTTTACTCGATGACAAAATGCTTGTAATGGTGCATTAGCATCACTAAGATGTTTTGTTAATTGTTCAATTAAATATGATTTAATATTAATTGGTTTAGTTGATTTCATAGATGTCATAATACCATTACACTGTGTATCGAGAAGTAAATGTCAGGATACCCTACAGAGTAATCAACTAAAAGTGAATTCATTTACACGATGAAACTTACGCCTAGGGGTAATGATTTTCTCACCCCAT